AAAAAAAAAATTCGAAAAATTGAAAAAATGGGTCGGCGGGTAATGCAAAACGAAAAATTAACTTTGTGTGGCCTAATGACGGCAGCAGAAAATTTTGCACTTAATAATGGGTCAGAACAATATGAAGGGCATTCGGATATAGATTATTCTAGTTACGTATTAATTTATCGCTGATAACATATTTTAACTATATTATAATTTTTGTAGATTCGAGTAATTCGCCATCTACCCCAACTCCAATAAGATCTAATTATGACCACCGTTAAAATCTATTTCTAATTAAGCGGTACCATCTTTATAAATTTTATCTGAACTTAATAATAAGGAAATACAGTATCATTTCCACTATCATTTTTACAGCTGTTTTCAAAAAGATGTGGAAAACGATTTCCATATGCCCATGTGGGGAATCGAAGAATGTGAAAATTCTGCTTAGTAAAAATCCGATTATAGTGGGTTTTAAATACTCTGGAAATCTGTGAAATATCGTGAATTCCCCATAGTATGGTGATCTGTGTCTTCCACAAATTTTTGAAAACGGCTGTAATATGATTTGTAATATGTGGCTATTTTCTATATATAATTTTATAAGTTTTATAAAGTATGAATTTATAATTTTAAAAAATTACAATTTGTATATATCACACAATTTTAATAAACATCTGCGCCAGTCATATGTAATTTTTCCTGTCAATGTATACATAGTACCTACCGGATAAAAATTTTTATTCATCATCCCATATAACTCATCATGCTCTAGTGCCAAATCATTTTAAATTATCATATTAAATATTTACTTTCAAAATCTGCTCAAATCTAACCATTATCTAGGTATTCCGTTCCTGGTTTCGCGCGATGCCGTCGCGCAGCTATCTATTATAAGATATTGCAGCTTTAAGTTTTTTACGCAGTATAGTTACACAAAATTTGTAGATCGGATATCATTCCGTAAATCGATCTCAATAAGTAACTTACCTTGAACCGATTTGGTTAGAATCGGTCTCAAGCAAATTACCAGTTTTTAAGGAGATTTTTTTTTAAAAAAAGTTATTAATAAAATTTCTCAGAGCATTTTCAAGGTAGGGAATCAAGCGATTATACTTCTCTAGAACTAGCAATATGTTAAATTATTTAAGGACCGATTGGGACCGGTTAGGACGGATTAGCACCCTGGTTTTTATTAAGTTATTAAAATTTTTATTGTAAATAGGTTCTGTAAAAAGATTTTTACGGTATCACATGATTGAAATTATGATAATTTAGAATAGAAGAAAGTTTGTAAAAAATTTCTATAGTTTTCACAGTAGAGGTACTATTATTTCTATGTGGGCTAACACGACCTTAATCACATACTTGGTCATCAGAATAGCAAATGAGTCTGTAACAAACTTAACTATTGTAACGATTAATTTTTTCTGTGTCTCCTCACTTCCGTATTTGTATAATTCTTTAAGCCGTCACTCACCTTCCATAATTGTACCATCATAGTCATGTTAATCTTACCTTAGTAATATTAGGCATTATTATGTATTCTTGGTGGCTTAACTCATGCAAGAGCGTCTACGTTCAAAATAGAGCGTATACGTGATTGCACTAATTTGTAATCATTGCGCCGTGGAATCTACAGCGTAAGCGTTGAGATCCCATGATGACAATCTGTAAAATTAGAATGTATATAAGAGTGCGTCTTCATCCTTAGTTGAGGATAACATTCGCTCTCCTAAAATTCCTCAATAAATAAAGATTATATATATTCACATTCTTTTTTATAATAAATGCCCAATAAATCATGAATATCCGAATACCATAATTTTTCACCCAATTCATGTGACCCTTCTAACGTCAACCATCGGAGTTAAACTCGGCATGACAATAACAAGCCCTCCCTTACGATGGTTACACTATATTTAGTAATTTAGTTCTGTAGCAGAATAATTTATAGTAATCGTAGGCAAGTTCTATAATAGAATTTTTCTATAATAATTCATAGCATATTGAAAATGCTGAATAAGATGGATGGCGTGAATGCGCCGCCATCGTACTAGTTTTATTAATGCATAAACGATAACAGATTTGACGCGTCTCAAAATTGAATTTCAATTCGACACAATTTTAATTTATATTTAAATTCGGATGTATAACGTAGAAGATAGGACATGAAAATTTCGAGATCCTTTATATAAATACAGTGAGAATAATGAGTTATTACAATTGCGTTTTTATTTAATAAGAGACAATGTACAATGTACAGAACTTTATTTAATAGAGAATAATTAGCAAACAATACATTTTGCTTAATAAAAATAACAATACATTTTATTAAATGAAGAATGACCAACACTGCATTAATAAATTAGAAATATATTAGATAAAAAGATATCGAGGTATAAAAACGCTCACCAAAAGTATTTAATATGCCAAATACTTGCAATAAGTCCTTCGCACTAAAAGTGCAAACCAGAAATTTTAAATATTAGGTCTCTCGTAGTATAGTTTAAATTGTATTCCTTTAATTAAAAATTATTTTTTTCGCTTATGATAGATAAAGATTTTCGTTGAAAACCAATACTCGTGTAAAATCAAAAATCCTACCAAAACATAAACGAATGAGATAAATAGTGAATTTTTAATTATAATTAACTTCCAGTAACACATTCGATTTTCATAGCATTCTGTGTGCAGCTTTTTTGCCTTACAATACAACTTTTATATTCAGAATAAATCTTTTTTAAAAAAATATTGTCAAAAAATACTATTGGGTTAACGGTAAGGGGTCAAACTGAAAGTTGATAACATTAAATCATCTATTTGGAACGAAAACTTTAATCGATTATTGGCACTGCAAATTGCATAATATATTGTACTACATTTGGGAGGGCCACCTTGGCTAACTCGGCCTTATTTGACCGATTTTTGATAAGCTGAATACGATAAGTAGAAAATAAATAAGGCAATTCATAGGTTTCCTTACTGTATCATCACTCATTTTTATTAATTATGTTGTGACAAAACACTCGCTTAAACAAAAAAAAAAAATTATCAAATTTAATTATGTTATTGAAACATTTTACGTTTAAAAATTATGATCACAACGATTTATTTAAAGAAATATGGCAACTATTTGAAAATAATTATAAATAGTAATTATACGAATATTGATTTTATTGGCTTGAATAAGCAATATTTTGTTTTGTGAATTTGGGAAAGTCTCAAATTTTAGTCATTGATATTTAGTCTATTATACTTAAATAGTATTATCTCTAATAATGAATGAGCTCTAATTTAGCATCTCAAATAACAAGGTAGTGAAACGAATATTTACCAATCATGAAATAGATTCCTGCACAATTTTCATATATATTAATGGGTCCTCTACACGCATTCATTTTTACTTGTTCAAACTTATATATTTACAGTCAATATATCTTATCCTTAATATAAATTGACAGTATTTGATTCATAGCGTGTATACACTTACTAAGAAACTTTAATTCATGTAATCCAGAATAACCTAATAAAAAATGGGAAACAAAATATCTCGTCGAATTATAAAGAGAAAAAAATCTACACGAACTAATTCATCTAGAGAATCAAGTACAATTTCATCTAGAGCTAGCAGTTCCAATCTTCAATTAACGCCGCAATTGAGGACTGTAGCCGGTCGACCTTATTTTGATGAAAGCTTTTCCTCTTATATTGTAAGTTATTTTAAAATCAATGGATTCTTTTTTTCAAACTTACAAATACTTAGGCATTTTCCGGTAAAGTATCCTGCAGATTGGGAAGAAGCTGATAGAATTCAAGCGCTTCATTTCGTTCTGAAACACATATTTAATGGAAATTACTGTGCAAAACTTTCAGATATTATTAAGCCTGGAAGCAAAATTTTGGCAAGTATTCAAAATTTCATTATTCATATTTAATACGTATATTGAATCTTAAATAATTTTTATTTATAGGATATTGGATGTGGACCCGGACACTGGAGGTAATCTTATAGCTATTTTCAAATATAATATAGAATATTAATTTCCTAATTATTTAAATTATCGTGTATTAATTAGCTTCGAAATAGCACAAGAATTTCCCGAAGCAGATGTCTATGGCATAGACATAATGTCATCCTTTCCAAACCAGATAAAACCTAATAACTGTTACTTTCAAACATGTGACATACTTGAAGGTTTACCATTTGATGATAATGAGTTCGATTATGTTTTTATGAGACATATGAATGTATCGATAAAGAAAGATCAATGGCTGCCAGTATTAAAAGATATAAAGAGAGTGATGAAACCTGGTGGTGTTATTGAAAGTGTAGAGCTTAATTGTTTTCGTAAGTGTCCAGTCAAAAAATGGGAGATATATATTAAAATAACTATGTAGTTATTCCTCATTTTCTTATAAAATAGCATACTCTACGGGTCCGGTTCAGACTCAATTTATGAATAAAATGAGTACGTATTCTTTTTTTCAAACATTGTTAAATCAAAATTTAATTTTTTTATAATATCAATTTTAGATGAAGCAATGATCGAAGTTTTAGATATGGATCTCCAATTTAAGCTTGAACCGATGTTTAAAGATTTAGAATTTCAAAATGTAACAAGCATTAGTAAATATATATCACTTGGAAAGTAAGTTATACGTTTTCTTAAGAAATTCGTAATTAATTTATAAAAAAATTAATTGATTGCTTTCTTTAATTAAAAAAAAAAAAAAAAAAGATGGGATGAAAATACTGGAAAAATTGGTCAAATATGGACTACAAATACGTATCAAATGGGAGAGTCAGTTAAATCAATATTAGCGCCAGTGATGAACCTAACCGAGGATGAATGGGATCGGTTGCAAAAAATAATGTATTTTGAAGAGATTGATAAATATCATTCATATCAAGAACATTATATCGTTTTGGCTACTAAAGATAGTTAAAAATTTTTTTTCAATATTTATATATATGTTATAAGAGGATTAAAAAATCCAATTCTATGCTCTGCTTAACAATAAGAATACACATAATTTTAAGCTATAATTCAGTCACTGTATGTGATTAAAAATAAATATATGAGGATTAAAAATCCAATTTTATGCTCTACTTAACAATAAGAATACACATAATTTTAAACTATAATTTAATCACTTATGCTATTAAAAATAAATATATAGTTAATATATTCTTATGAAAGATAAGGCGAAACCAACTGGATTCTGTGTTTTACATTACCCCTCTCTCCCCTCCGGAAGAGGGGAGAATTTGTAGTTTACATAGTAAAATTTTCAAAAATTTTTTTTAAAAAAAATTTTTTCTGAATTGATCCGTGACTGTATAAAATTCTTCCGAAATATCCCGTAGCCCTATGTATATTTATCAAAATTTTTTACTATGATGGAGGGACCCCAGAGGAGGGGGGGGTGGGGGTAATGTAAAACACAGAATCCAGTTGGTCTCGCCTAAAACGTTTTTACGTACGTACGTACGTCTATTTCGACGACCCTTGCATTTTTGTGTTACATATGCACTCTAATCTATTTTTTTAAAAAATTCAAATCTTGAGCTACTTGTATTCAGATGCGCTAATAATTAATTTGTTACACATGTGTGCAGGTAAAAAAAAAAACCTTCCTTGTACGGGCGGTATTGATGCAGTTTGTCTATATAAATTTTTCTTGTACGTACGTACTGCACATTATTTTTTGCGGCTTAATAAATTTTAAATACATATATGTACGTACATTTATTTTTATAGTAAAAACTTTTTTAATAAAAAGATCTTTCATGTGTGCACCTTGTATAGGTTAAACCAATGTTACATTTTTATGGGTTAGAGATGCAATTATGGTCATTTGTTTATATAAATATCAAAAATACAAGTTATATGATATGTAGATCATTATACTCGCCCCTTTATTTGTTTGTACCGGTAATACAAAAAAATTCTTATTAAGCTCAAATTTTAATTATCCGGATTATCCGGACATAGAATTTGAATAAGTGTGCCAATCGAAAAGTTTCAATTCTCTTGGTATACTAACTAAAAATGTCGAGAATGAAATTTTTCATTTATTTCTGTATCTCAACATCAACGTCCTAACCTTAAACTTCTATAGTACTTTATAATAATTTTCCTTCTTTGGTGTGTATTATCGACATAAAATTTGAAAAATTGTACTACCCTTAATAATCTATAATAGTAGTCTATTGTCCCCTCGAATTGGAAACTAGAAGGCAAATGTAACACAAACCTTAATATCAAATCTATCACGAGAAACTAAATATCAGTAGATCTTGACAAATGAGTACTTCTTATTACCTTATTTTCATCTTAATTGATAGCAATAACCGAAATTATATTTCCATTAATCATGAGTTTTTAAGCAGTTCTAAACTAAACAATATGACTAATACTGTAATAAGCAAATAAAAAATATAAAGCAATACTACAGAAGTAGACTAGTGGCGACAGAAAAATGTCGAGATCACCGCAATCAATGATATATATGAAACTAAATCAGCTAACGCTAAATCACAATTCAATTTTAGCCCAGAAATATGTTAACAAATTTTATTGGAAGATCACCAATAATGTGATCTCGACATTTTTCTGCCACCACTAGTTACAGTCAGATTAGGGTTGTTAAAACTTATCTGACAGTTTAAGTTTACACAGTAGTTACGTGTAAATTACTGTAATTACATGTAAATTATTGTATCTTACTGTAAGTAATATTAAGTTAAGTTACAGTAACTTACATGTAAGTTAACGAATCTACGTTAGACGCTATGTCTCCTACAGCAGCCACTGAAAGAATCCTAATTGAAAATTTAATATTTAAATTATGATTTGACGTAAAAATTAATTTGACGTACACTATTACTAAGAATGTTATTATTTAATTTATTGATTTTATTTGTTTAATAACTACTCTTTTGTTCTATATACAGTAAGTAATGAAGAATACTACCATAAAAGGTCATGTTAAAGATCCTCCATATATTAGATTATCTATGAATCACAGGATCTCTATTAAATAAATGCAGATGTTTTTAAAATCTAGACTGCTTTTAATAAAAATAATTGTCGGTAAACCATTTATCATCGATGTCATCAAACATCCCGAATATTGTGAATCATTGTGGCTTCGCCACAATGCTACATAATATATTTGTTGATCCGTGATGTTTAATATTATCTATGATAAAACGTCAAATAATTATTTCGGACCTCTACCTTTTTTGATAATTCCGACAATGCGAGAACAGATCTTTTAAGCAAAAAAATAATAAAGATACGATAAATTACGAAATAACGCGCAAGGGTGTAACTTCGAATTTTGGCCAATATTTGAAATAATGCCCCTATTTCGCGCTTGTACGGTCTTTTAAGCAAAAAAATATAAATATTAATATTCTTCATAGATATTTGTTTAATTTAAAAATAAAACACGGATACATTCAAACATTATTCCAACTCTCATAATTCATCATGAATCAGAAATACTTAATTGGATTGCATGTATTTTTTTTCCTTATACTTGCTGAAAAAACTTATGGATGCTATCCTGTTGGAGATGGTGTATAGCGCGTGTGTTAATTTTCAATTTATTATTATTCGCTATTCTTTGGGTAAAAAATAAATAATTTTTTTTTTTTTATTTAAGCCTTAGGTGAAGATCTCTGCGGTGCTAAGATTCTAGATGCTAATTTGTATCAAATTCAACACTCACTATCACGGTTGTTGGTAGAAAAGTTCGGCGTGATGGTATTAATGTAGCACCACATGCATTAGGCCACCTTACCATGCATGATGATACTGGTAACAGTGGGAAATTTCTAAGAAATTCAAAATTCGTTAATGGCTATATTTGTACTTCTGATGATCCTTCACAACAAAAGAATCCCTTCACATATTCTGTGCAATTTGATTTAAGACACCTACAGGTGGAACTTGGTTTGATGTTTGGGTTTCAGTGTATTGGGATTGTGTTATTCGTTCAAAGCAATCTATATATTGTTGGACTGAGTATATACACTATAGAGGTTATGTAAAATAAAAACGTTTGATATAGTTTTCTTAAATTGGGTACGACTCAGTGTTGAAAATTAATGTGCGGAAAGGGCGGAACGCACGTCAAAAAAATTTTCCGCGCCTTAAAGATCAACAATATGTGCGCAAAGCGCTCGTGGGTTTTAAGATTCTGAGCGGAATGCGCACATTAAAATTTTTAAATTCATATTTGTAATAAGCTTTGATGTGCGCTATATTTTTTATGCAACTAACTTACGTTTAATTAATATTAATAATCGAAATAAAACATATTGAATTAAATTATATCTTTAATTTTTATCGATATTAAAGTTATATTGATTTAAAAAATGGATAAATTTGTTATACTACATACCAAAAGGGCTAGTTAAATATTAATAAATTAAATTGTATTGCATAAATAAATAAATAAAGATCTATTTTAGCACTATCTGCTGTTATCTTATAAATTAATTGCGCGATATATATATATATTTAAGCTATTTGTTTTGCGTACGTTTAAAAAAAGCTCATGTGCGCTGTAGCGCACCAAGATAAATATGTAATGTGCGGCCCGCCCACAACCCTGATGCTGAATTTTCAACACTGGTACGACTATTTTGTGTATCAGTTTCTATAAATAAGTAGCTGTGTGACATTGTCGCGCTAAACCAGGACGGATGAATATAAGCTTAATCTAGAAAATGTTGAACAACTCCAACACAGAATAGTTATGTATAGCTTCAGATAAATAAATATCGAGTACAACATAACTATATTGATATGAAGAAATATCATAAGATTTTTAGATGTATATAGTATAGAGTGTAAAAAATACCTCTTTAAAAAGCATAACATACTAATCCACTAATGCTAACCCTAATAATACAAAACGCCGAGTAGATATTAAAAATAGGGGTATTCCGCACCCCATACCGTACAGTTCTGGTCATACTAATCTGCATAATTAAAAATATTCTTGACAGATGATAATTAAACAGATTAATGTGAATAAGAAGCTAAATACTGTATTTTTGTGTAATAACGCACACCTGTGCGTTATTTTGAGCACCTGTGCGTTATTTCGAGACGCACATGTGCGATATTTCAGATCAATATTGCCAAAATTTAATAGACATGTGGCTATAATTATATTTATAGTGAAACTCTTAGTGGAGGGGGTGCGTTATTTCGGGATGCACATGTGCGTTATTTTGAGGCAAATAGGCAATTTTTAAAAAAGTGGCAATTTTGAAATAACGCACATGTGCGTTATTACACGAAAATACGGTAAGAGGTAAACAGCTCATATTAAATACTTAGATCAATTAAACAAATAAATAATCACTAAACTTAGAGACTAAAGGTGCTCTCAATGTGATGAGCTAGTTCCCAAGATCATGCAGAAAGTACTACGATTAATTGAAGCGATCCTTGCTGTAATTTTGCTAAATATTCATATCATAAAATGCTGATAATAAAATTTAGCCAATCAGAACATGTCTATAACAAAAAAAGGCGGGTTTAGCTTTTATTTTCATTGAGATTAGAGCTGTGACCCAGGTCAAAAAATAGTGACCCAGGTTTGACCCGAGTCAGCCATTTTCGACCGAGTTGACTCTTGTCAATAGTCACATAGGTTAAGCTTGAAAATATATTTTAAAATATAACCATTTTAACTCAGAAAATCTCAGGTTTTGTGTCAAAAAAACTTCAACCTTGCTTGTAATTAGAGTTCTTTCATTTTCTACATCGGAAAAACCTGGTTATTGCAATCTATCTGTTCATTTAACTGACCCATTTGACCTGGGTTAACCCAATTTTTGACCTGTGACCTGTTAAAATTCTGACTCGTACAGGTCAAGCCAACCCGGGTAATAGCTCTAATTGAGATAATGAACTACTTACCAGTTAAACTATTTTCTACAAATTAGAAATTGAGTTTTGACCTATTAATTATGTGCTTGAGAGAATTTTAAATCAATACGAATAAAATTTAAATGAGAAATTAATTAATATATTGAATAGTAATGTTCAATTGATTAAATAAGAAAAAATATTATGTGAAAACTTGACATTAAATGATGAAGTGTTTATAGACAAATTTCAGCTTATTAAAGATTTTTAGATCTGTTAATACTTGTATGGCTTCTTTAAATACTATTTTTGCTTTAAAAACATTATTACTGTAGCTACGTAATAATATTTAATACAATGTTACTACAGTTAGTGTTAGTAGTCAGTTTCTAAATATCAACTAACTAAGCTGATAATATAAAATTTAGCTTAGTTAGCTTAGCCATGATCATATAAAAGTAAAATTTTACATTTAAAAATTTTTTTATTGATGATACATAAGTTAACAAGAAAACTGATACATATTTGATGTGTAAATAAAGTTCTTTATTATAATCAGCAAAAATTTTTTTTTATCATTATTAGTTTCTTACTAATATAAATTGAAACAATTGCCCATTTCAGAGCACTATACTGTATACTGTAAATGAGCGGATGGCTAATAAAAATATTCAACTAATCTTTTGTTTAATTATATCCACATTTATCGTATATTTAATAAAGGATTTTCAAAAATGGTTTTTCATATATTTAGTATAGTATTAAATTGTAAATGAATTTGAGTATAGAAAGTTGACTAAGCCGATCTTTGAAAAAATTGATTAAGTCGACTAATGTGCCATTGACTACAAACACTAACCGCAGTACTGTATTGTCTACTGCAACTGTACAAGTTATGCTCTAATCATGACACAAGTTGTGGCTTCAAAAACTGAGAAGCCATGACTTTAAAAGGCTTATTCAGTTGTAGCTAAAACCAGTTTCAGATAAGCTTTTGAAGCCAGTTGATAATAAATCCATATTTGAAAATAAAAAAAAAGCACATTTTTACAAATGATCGTCATTCATTTTAATTGAGACAACTAGAACATGATCATGCAGATGACTTCGCCGCTGGTTTCAATTATTATGTGTAGAGGCTAATTGTATTTTCATATTTAAAATAATTCAAATAAAATAATGAAGTGTAACTTAATAGTAAAGATTCACAACTTGAATAATCTATTTCTAATATCTCAGTTTATAAATATTTATTTTTTACTTATAACATATTGTTAGTGGCAAAAGGGCAGAAACATGGACTACACAATCACCACCCAAAACACACACAACTAGCACACAATATATTTAATTGGCAGAGGCAGTTACGATTTGGCAGTGCTAAAGCTAAATCAGGTATATTATAGGTAAAGATGACTCTTTATTATTATGCAAACAGTCTCTGCCTGTCCTTTATTAGAGGGCGAAAAGAACCCATATTTATATTGTATTTTGTACATGTGGGGAACAAAATCGAGAACTTTTTCTAATCTAAAACCTAAGCTAATCTAAGCCCACAACCAAAGCATTGTCACCACCACACCTTTTTAGGCGATGTATAGTCAGTGTTTTGCCCTGCTGAGCATCTCATAGTTTTTCTTCTTACGCCTCAGCCAGGAAGTGCATTGTTTTATAGTCTTGGGGCTATATGAATGATATAATTATCGTAGATGCGACCATGACATCTTGATGCTTCTTCAGCATTCTCTTTCTGAATTATTATGCCATTGGGACTTTTTAGGCTTGGTATTTGTTTGGGGCTTTTGGGGGAAAACTAAATTCTTTCAATTTCCCACTGATTTTGTGGTCTCTAATTCGGGTCTTTTGTCATGTTTTTGGGCTCGTGATATCGAATTTGGCATAGTCAGTTTTGTTGGGTTTGCCACCAACAATATACATTTACATAATGAAATTAAATAAAATGAATTCAAATTTCTTGATACCTAAATGCCTTATCTATTTTAATTGGTATAAATAAAACAAAGTTAATGAAATTGTATAAGAATTCATGAATTTAACGAATTAGAATCTTCACAAATTAATTTAGATAAAATGAATAAAATAAAATGGTTACGTGTTATTTCACCGACAGTTTAGTTCACTGACAATTAATTCACTGACAAGTTGACAATTAACTTACAGACAAGTTTATTTCACCAACAATTATTTCACTGAAGCTCATTTTACCAACAAGAATTTTTTATATATTACACTAATCTTAACTCTAATTCTAATTTGACACTAACAACAATGACCAGAATTACTTTGTCGGTGAAATAAGCTGTCAATGAAATAATTGTCAGTGAAATGAATTTGTTGGTAAGTTAAATATCGATGAATTGAACTTGTCTGTGAATTAATTGTCAGTAGTACTCCAAATCGGGTCGGGTCAACCCAAAACTCAACCTGAAATTTCAGGTCATATCGGGTTTGTGTTAGAAATATCTGACTCGAAAATTTTGGATCTGGTTTGGTTGAACGTCAAACCAGCCCGAACCTGACCCAACCCGAAAATTATCCAATCTATAGATGCGTGAAATTAGAATTTTATATTTTTTTTTGGTTCTATTAGCAAGTACATATGTATTTTTAAATAATATTTTATAAAACCTAAAAAGACAGTCAAGTGTATACCAATCAGATTTCTTCAAACGATAGACACAATTGTTACTCGATTTTGATTGGTTAGTGGCCGCAGATCTGCAAATTTTGGCCTACATTACATAATGTTTACTAATTTCTAGCCATTGTTAGCTTTTGATTTTTTCATTACAAAAATAGAAATTTTTTGAAATTAATCCCGCATTGTGCTAAAATTTACCCAGGATCAATTTTCACTTAACAGGCTCTGTGGTTTCATTAGTAGAATTCTGAGTAATTCTAGACAAATTTTTTGATTATTGCTTTTAGCCAATCAAAATCGAGAATCTGCCATGAAATTTTGTAAAGTTATTAAGAAAGCTAGAAAAGTATAACGAGAAAATCACATTTTTTAAAAAACCATCGATACGTAACTTGAAATTTCGACTATTATCATAAATGAAACCACATTCTGCGCTCTAATATAAAAAATTCTAATTTCAACCTAACTTTAATAATATTTTTTACTTTTAAATATTACACATAT